TCCCCTCAACCATTGTATCAGACAAACTTGTAGTGTGTTCATCTGGAATCACATTATTAACTTCAACTTCATCAACTTGGTAAACAACATCTTCCACTAGATCGTCAGTTTCAATATGACCCAATGGTTTTGTTTTTATTACAACACAACACCGTCGTTTACTTGGCACAAATGAAGGATAAGGAACATAATAAACTTGCCTAACAATATTTGACATTATGAAAGGGTCGTACTCTTTGTACCTCCGGTCCATTTGAATCTCAACAGTACCATATGTCTTATCTATTTTTGTGCCTCTAGTTGGATCATACCATTCACAATAAAACAAGACAATTTTATTTTCCGAGTCCAAGTAATTGTATACTAACTCGTAGATATGTTTAACAAAACCGTAGAAGTCATCTTCACCACCATCTGTAACTCTTTTCACAAATATGCCACTGTTTATGGTCTTTTTCCCTTCAGTCCATTCATGAGTGTGAAATTTATATCCGTTCACGAAGTATGTGTGCCATTTGTTTACGCTTTGACGAGGGCGATTAGACAAGTTTCTCAAATGGAGTATTTCTGGAGTCGGTGCAACAACCCTATACAATTTCTCCTTGAACCATGTTGGAAATTGGGCATGAATGACACCGGATGTTGATTGTACACCGGTACTATCAAAATAGGCGTTATTAAATTCCCTAAAAAGAAACACACTATAAGTTTCAAGGTAATCAATTTTATATTCACACTGTAAATAAAATTAAAAAGTTGGATTATACTTACTCAAGATATGGTTTAACTTCAATGCAGTTGATCAAGACATGAACATGTGCAGATTGCATTTCTTGTTGGGTCAACCAATGCTCACCCTTCTTTCCAGAAGGACGACCTGGAAGCCCAAAGACTAATAAGGTGTATTGACTTCTTTCGATAACATTTACAGGATTCCTTATGATTCTTGGAGTTAACATCAAGTGCTTGAAATAGTGACTGCAAAAATGTGAAGTTTCTCGATGCAAGTAATGTGCACATATTGATCCTTCAACTCTAGCTTTATTTTTCACTGATCACTTTGAATCACCCATGAACCTTTCAAACGGATACATCCACCTATATTGAACAGGTCCTCCTAGATAAGCCTCATATGCAAGATGCACAGGTAGATGTTACATGGAGTCAAAAAAACCAGGCCGAAATACTTGTTCCAACTTACAGAGAATGACTGGAATATTTTGGTCCAACTTAATGATGTCATCCACTCTTAAATCTGACACACAAATATCTCTAAAAAATTGACTAATTTCAGTGAGTGAATTAAGCACATGTTTGGGTAGATAACCGAACGCAATTGGTAGCAATTGTTCCATAAAAACATGGCAATCATGACTTTTCATACCATGCAACTTCCCAGTGTTAGCATCGGCACACCTTGCTAAATTTGAAGAATACCCGTCGGGCATTCTCAAACCTTTTAGCCATCCACAAACCGCTTTAGTTTCTTGGGGGTTGAGACTGAAACAAGCTTTGGGTTTAAATAATTTTCCATTTGGTTGAGGCTTCAATTCCAACTCTTTACGATTACACCAAATTTCCATATCTTATATAGCCTTCACATTATCTTTTGTTTTGTCTTTAACATCCATCACTGTGTTAAATACGTTATCAAAAAAATTCTTCTCAATATGCATAACATCAAGATTATGGTTCAACAAATTATCTTTCCAATACGGGAGGTCCCAAAATACACTTCTTTTTGTCCAATTATGTGTGACGCCATATCCTTCAATTCTACATGCTTTGCCAGTATCTGTAAACTTTGGAAGTTCACAAACTTGGTTTCATATAGCAACTGGTGACAATCGGGGCGGAGGAAGATCTGTTACCCGTTCGTCCTTTTTGAAATTTGTCTTGTTTTTTCTAAAGGGATGATTTGATGGTAGGAACCTGCGGTGACAGTCAAACCACGAGCTTTTCCCCCCTTTATCCAATGTAAACACCTTAGTGCATTCCATGCAATGTGGACAACCCATTTTGCCATGTGTACCCCACCAGACAACATGCCATATGTTGGAAAGTCGTTAATGGTCCACATTAAGGCAGCTCACATAGAAAAGTTTTGTTTACGGGATATATCATAAGTCCATTCTCCATTATTCCACAACCTCTTCAAATCATCAATTAAAGGTTGTAAGTACACATCAATTCCGGTTTTTGGACTCGATGGTCCTGGAATGACGCACGTCAAAAACATGTATGGTTTTGTCATGCACATCTCAGGAGGGAGATTGTAAGGGATTACAATAACTGGCCAACAAGAATACGCACTTCCAGACGCTTGGACATATGGAGCAAAACCATCAGAGTATAATCCAAGCCTGACATTTCCAGATTCTGCAGCAAAATCAGGATGTACCTCATCAAAGTGCTTCCATGCATGACCGTCAGATGGGTGTCGCATATTTCCTGGGCTTGTTTTGTTTGTAATAACATTAAACAGTTTTTACTAAATATATACATATTAAAACAGTTTTTTAAATATGTTTTTATTCAATACAAAAAAACTATTTTTTTTATATATGTTTTTAATCAATACATAAAGTATTATATTATATTTATTTTAAATAAAATATATATTAACATTAAAACTGTTTTTATAAAATTTATATATTATGCTATTTTTTTTATATAATAAATAAATTAAATAAATCAAGATATATATTTAATGAAAATTACAATATTATAATTTAACCAAATTCAACCTAAAATCTAACTAAATTCAGAAAATATACTAAATGTAAATTTTTTTCCAAGAAATACCTCTTCTCTTCTAACTCCTTCAATCTTCTTGTCCAACCTTTTTGCAATCTACTTCTACTATATCAATCTTCTTCTATTCAAAGAAAAATTAAAATAAATTACAATCCCATAATACAATAAATAAAAACTTGTAAACAAAATAGAGACAAAATTAAATTAAATTAACCTGAAAAAACAAGGATTAATGGAGATTGAAGTTGGATTTTATGAAAAAGAAGATGTTTTATAATGGAGAAGAAGAAGTTTTATGAAGAAGAGGGTTAATGGAGATTGGGATGGAATGAGAGAGGGAGAGTTGTGTTTGATTGTTTGATGAAAATATACCACTGTCTGCTTGGTGTAACGTGATTTAATTAAATATATAAACCATTCAGCGACGTGAAAATCACGTCGCAACTTTGCCACGTGACTTTCACGTCGCAACAATGCCAACAGTCATATTCTCTTTCTTCACATGCCTGCAAAAGCTGATCATGCCGGTCTGAATTAATTTGATTTTCCCTCTTAAATGTTGTGACGTAAATACCACGTCACAACTGACTTTTTCAAAATTTCAAAAATCCATCCATCTGAACGTTAGACAAATTAAAATATTTTATATTATATTTTTACTAGCGACGTGATTCTCACGTCGCAACATATATTTTTTTTAAAAAAACTCAGACAACCATCATGCTTCTTTATTTTATTAATAAAACATATTGCCACGTGATAATCACGTGGCAAAAACATGTGGCTGGAGATGATATTTCTTGTAGTGTATATCGGTTTCCTATGTAAGACACTATATTAAGTGGGTCACATTTCAAATCGATTTGAGACACAATCGAAAAAACATGTCATCTATTTTATCAAAATTAAAAGTACGATCCATTTTGATTTTTCCTCAATTTATTCTTATTAAAGTCAAAATTTTAAGAAATTTATAAATAATGGTTACATTTGTTTTGGATTTTTTAAAAAATAATTTTTATAGTGTAACATTATTTTGTATACAAAAAATTTATAAATAATTTTTTTCATAAAACCTTTAAATAAATATTAATTTGAATATTTCTTTTTAAAATGTTTATTTAAATATTTCATCATTTTATTGAAAAAAATTTAAATATTAAAATAAATAAAAATTTAATGGCTTAAATGCATTTTTGACCCCCCTAGTTTAAGGTTTTTGGAGTTTCGATCCCCCTAGTTTAAAAACCAGGTTTCTAGTCCCCATAGTTTTCAAATTTGGGATTTTTGAAGCCCCCTCCATCTGGCTGCCCAAAAAGTTTGCAAATTTGGGATTTTTGAAATCTCGTACGGGCGGATGGAAGAGGAAATTAGGTTAAGCAATTTGGGATTTTCAGAAAATATGAATTATGAAATTAAAAATTCATTTGGAAATTAATATCACTTATTTAAATGTTTAAAAAATATTATTCTAAATAAGAAATAAGAAAATAATACGTGGCATTACTCTCCCTGTGCCATGTCACATGGAGGGGGCTTCAAAAATCCCAAATTTGAAAACTTTTTGGGCAGCCAGATGGAGGGGGCTTCAAAAATCCCAAATTTGAAAACTATGGGGACTAGAAACCTGGCTTTTAAACTAGGGGGATCGAAACTCCAAAAACCTTAAACTAGGGGGGTCAAAACTGCATTTAAGCCAAATTTAATTTAAAGCTATTTCAAATAAGTTTTCATAAAAATTATTTTGAAACTATATATATATATATATATATATATATATATATATATATATATATATATATATATATATATATATATATATATATATATATATATATATATATATATATATATATATATATATATATATATATATATATATATATATATATATATATATATATATATATATATATATATATATTAGGATGTCAAAATTTGTTTTCCAATTTAAAAAAATCAAATATAAAAAAATTTATAATATTTGAAAATCTATTTTTAAAAATTAAAAAAAAATACTGGTAAAACAAGCAGGTTTATATTTATATATCTATATTTATTGTAGTGGAACTTTAGAAAAGTGATTAATAATTTACAAGTGTGTCTTAAATATCGATGTAATATAACATTAGTCTTATTCACAATGTAACCACAAGCCGCCCCTAGTCATATCATGACCCTATATATAAAGGCACGTTATCTGCCTAATCAAGCACAAACTCTAATATCAGTAAGGGAAAAAAATGAACCCCCTTCGTCTCATAGCCACAGCTCTATGCTGTGTTGCAATTGTGTTTGGAGGATTAACTTTCTCCTCAGATGCACAACTTGACCCAAATTTTTACGGTAAAACTTGCCCCCAGTTGCAGTCTATAGTATATCAAATCTTATCCAATGTTGCTACAAAGGATCCACGAATGCCAGCTAGTCTCATCAGGCTCCACTTTCATGATTGCTTTGTTCAAGTATGTAAACATATATTTCTCATGATAAGTGCTTTTATATGTAACTTATTTTTATAATAATAGTTATTTCTGATTGATACAGGGTTGTGATGCATCAGTTTTGTTGAACAAAACTTCTACTATTGTGACTGAACAAGATGCTTTACCAAATATCAACTCCTTGAGAGGTTTAGATGTTATAAATCAGATCAAAACAGCCATAGAAAAAGCTTGTCCCAACACTGTTTCTTGTGCTGATATTCTTACGCTTTCTGCTGGAATATCTTCCGTTTTGGTAAATATAATTATTTTCAGTTAACAACAAACGAATTTTGACATAAAATCATAATAATTTAATTAATAAATTTATATTGACAGACCGGAGGGCCAGGTTGGTTGGTTCCACTGGGAAGAAGAGATAGTTTAACAGCAAATCAATCACTTGCTAATATAAATCTTCCAGGTCCATCTTTCACTTTAACTCAACTTAAATCTGCTTTTGCTGATCAAGGCCTCACCACACTTGACCTAGTATCGCTCTCTGGTGCTCACACATTTGGAAGATCACGTTGCTTTTTATTCTCTGACCGATTGTACAACTTCAGCAATACTGGTAAACCTGATCCAACTCTTGATGCAACATACTTAAAAGTATTACAAAAACAGTGTCCTCAGAACGGGCCTGGAGATACCCGTGTCAATTTTGATCCAACCACTCCTGATATATTGGACAAAAACTACTACAACAATCTTCAAGTTAAAAAGGGTTTGCTTCAAAGTGATCAAGAATTGTTCTCAACACCAGGTGCAGATACTATTGGCATCGTCAACAATTTTGCCAATAACCAAAATGCTTTCTTTCAGAATTTTGCGAATTCGATGATTAGAATGGGAAATATTGGTGTGCTTACCGGAAAGAAAGGTGAAATTAGAACACAATGCAATTTTGTTAACAAGAAGAAGAAATCACCTGAGTTGGATATTACTGGTGTGACCTCTACAGAATCAATTGAGGGGGGTGTGGTTAGTTCAATCTAAGTGTTTTGAGGCTTACTTTAGTTGAAATAAAGATATGATTATAGCTAGGTACATTTGTGCCATAAGCTTTGTTACGTGCCTTTTGTGTGTGTAAGATAATCTTCTTTTATGTAATGTTTTAAATAATATCCACTCTTTCCATTACAACTTGGAAGCTCTTGTTCCTTAACATTGATAGAAAGTATAGTTATGATTAGCATGATAATTAATTACTTATTGAAAATAATAGTGTAACATTAGGAAAAACAGTGAGACTAAAATGCTAATTCAATTTGACCTGAGAGATAGTTTTGCTGGTAAAAGTTTCATAGTGTTTACATTAAACATGTAGCTTCTATAACCTTTAAATATTATTAAAAATAAAATGAGACTGGGTCGTAAATGCATCGGCATCCATATAATTTATATTCTTATACATATATTCTTATTTTATAGTCAACTCTTTTATGTTAGAACCATTAAAATACAATAACACAACACTTTCATTTAATTCAAATCTTTATCTTTCCCAAATTATATTATAAACAAAGTCACCACCATCTCAGTTTTTGAAAGAAAAAAAAAGTTTGACCAATCCTCAAACAAAGGCAAAAGAAGAAAAATTGAAAAAACTCTTCACCCTAATATTAATAAAAGTGGAAAGTCTTTCTTATCATATTAAACTCTCTTATATTGAGAAATTATTTGATCCAACTTCTTTAATAAATGTTTCCGAAAATGTTTTAGTAATTAAATTATAAACAAACAAAGTCACCACCACATTCTCAGTAAAAATAACACCACCACATTCTCAGTAAAAATAACCTTGCTTCGAACAACCACCACATGCTTTTTTCCCTATATGTTTACTAAGTCATGGAAAGTCAAAGTCATATAATCTATTCCCTCTCAAATCTGCACAATATAATATTTTTTTATAAGATAGAAATAGATAAGAGAGAGTACTAAGGATATTCTAATCCGCTTATAAAGTTTGAGAAAAATCAACTTACCAACTGAAATTTAAATCAGAAAAGTCAAAACCTCTTTGCTGAAATCATAAAAGTTACATTTAGTAGTAAAAATGATTACACTCCGGAATCATTTCCAAACTTTCAATTTAATATTTCATCCTAAGTCATAAATAGAAGAACTTAAACCATTAAAGATAACACTATTCCTTAAACACCAAATACTCTAAATTACCGCCAACCAAATAGAACAAGCTTTTCCAGATTTTATTTTGCAATAACCAGGTATTGAAATTTCCCCCCGCAAATAACCATGTTTCAGAGATGATTACGCAAATAATCATGTTTCAGAAAACCCCACAAGGGAGGAGCCATCTCAATTGGCGCATACACCTTATTTTAAAGGGGAGGCACCATCTCACTTGGCGCCTAGGTGTTAAATTTGTGTCCTAAGTCAAGTGAGATGGCGCCTTAGTGCAATGGGAAGGCGATTTTTCGTGTTTTTTATTTTAAATGCGGGACGTTACGTAAACGATATAGGATCACGAAAATTCGAATTTTTATTTACACAATATGATTACACAAAACGATTACATAAAAAATACCAAATAGTCAGTGGTCTCCCGGAACCCGATAAAGACCCGCGGTTCCGCATTTCCGTCCTCGCCTTTCCCGTGGTGGGTTTCGCCGCGTTTTCTATTATGGCAGGATCGATGGCCCAGCGAAGTCAATGCGTTCCGGATCCATGAAATTGGTCAGATCTCCATATCTAGAAGATCCGCTTTAGTACAGTCGGTTACCAATACCATCAAAGTTTGGTCTTGTTGGTGGTGGGTGGGGTTCCATGGTTGGTTTATAGCACTGGTCGTCTGAGTAAGGGGGTAGAAAGGAAATGAATCCAGGGGTGTTTGCTATTAGGAATGTTTGGTGCTTTGGTGATGTGGTGGTTGATGGTAAGTTGGGTCGATTGGTTCATAATCTTCGGAAAATCCCAGATCAGGGCTAAGGTTAGATGTTGAGGGACCCATATTGGGATATGTAGAAGACTGGAGTTGTGTGTGGGGCATGCAGGTGTACTGGTATTGTGATTGAAATTGTGGTTGGGTGTGGGGCATATGGGGGTATTGGTATTGAGGTGGTGATTGTGGTTGGTTGTGGGGCATGTGGGTGTAATCGTATTGTGGTGGTGATTGTGGTTGGGTGTTTGTGGTTCTGTTTCGCCGGGGAGGTTGGTGGGAGGTTGATGTGTGTTGGGGAAATGAGGGTTGTGCCCATTATGTTCGTGGGTCAACCAAATACCTTGGATGAGACACATGCATTTCTGGGGTACTAATTGATCTGTACCAAGCTAAATATTGATCTGTGTGTCGCATATTACCATGGTTGAGGAAAATTGGAAATTGCAAGACATGTCGGTGACGCCTCTGCCATATCTTACACCATTCTAGAGCAAAATCTTTCCAGTTGGTAAGACCCCATTGGGCATCGACCCTTTTGAGATGCCACGGGGACAAACAAGTTGGATCATAGGGTATCTCTTGATGCATTCCAAACTGCATCTTGACACGGTCGTTGTGGTGCATCTCCACAATATTGAACCGTATGATTGCAGTCTTTGCGCTTCAAATTGTTGCATCCTTGGAGTTTGGTTCATGGTCCAAACCCAAATATGGTCTCCAGACAAACTGCGAATAAAATTAAATCAGCTTAATGAAAACGTAATAAATAAATAATTTAAAAGTAGAAAAGTTGAAAGGTATGACGTACATCATCCGGGCCATGGTGATCCAATAGATTGAATATAGAGCGTCATTGAATTTTGGATTCTTGCTATAATCCATACCCCTCACGTAGTATCTAAAGGAATTGAAAAATATTTTATTTTTATCATATATTTGGTGAAGAGATAAATAATAATAAATGATATGTTATTGACTTACTTTGTTGCGTATGGGAAAACGAATGCGTTGTTGTTGACGGGGTTTAGGGACTCCATTCTCCACCAACCTTAGGCTTGAAGTAAAAAAGCGCATCCATAAAAGGTACATTTTTCCTTGATTGCGTTTTTACACAAGGAACTGTATAGATGGGCTAAAACAGCAGAACCCCAACTATACTTTCTAGTTTTTTCAAAATCTCTAAGTAAATTTAAATACATGAAATTTACACTATTTCCTATGCTTTCGGGAAATAAAAAGGTTTCAAAAAGTATCATTATATAATTTCTAGATTTTATTACCTTAGCTAGCTCGGAGGAATTTTCGTTCAATTCCAGAGTCGCATAATGATTTTTGAGCTCAGTAAGTAGTACACTCTGGCCTCTTGCACCACCACCTTCAACCATATCCCTGCCCAACAATTCCTCGCACATAGAATTGGGATGTTGAACCGACCCGTTAACCGTCTTACCATCGATAGGGAGACCCAATAACATGTACACGTCCTCTAGTGTGACGGTACATTCACCTATTGGTAGATGAAATGTGTGGGTCTCTGGTCTCCACCTTTCCAACATTGCAAGTATGAACTTTGAATCAATCGTGCAGTTGGATATCTTTATAACATTTCTGAAACCTGTGTATTCGAGATAGGGTACGATCAACGGGTCGGGAGCAAGGTAGTTGTGTGACCGGATTCTGAATCTTTTAGTATCCTAAGTTAAGAATGTAAAAAGTGTAAGAGTCCATAAGATGTATAAATCATTAATAGAAGTATGAAAAATGTATAAGTATACAAGAAACTTACAAACACTGCAATATTGTCCCTTGTGCCTCTGTTAAAATCGCCCATTGTGAGAAGAACCATTGTTGAAATTGTCTTTGATTATGAAAGAGTTTGTAGCAGAGAGTGAGATGTTTGTGGATTCAATAGAAGTATGTGAGGCTCTGTATTTATAGGCAAAATTTTATCACAGAGTAAGTGAAGTGGTTGGTGGATGCATACATGTATGATAAGTGTCACTCTTGCAGTATAGGTGCAGGCTAGGTGGCATCCTTGGGGAAGGCATCTCTGCATGCATGTAATACGATTGGACGTGTAGGGAGGCACCATTGGACTTGGCGATTGAGTATAAAAATGAAAGGTATCGCCATCCCTGTAGGCGAATTAGAGGTGGCATGGGTTGTAGTGTAGGTGCAGGCTAGGTGGAAGCCTTGGGGAAGGCATCTCTGCATGCATGTAATACGATTGGATATATAGGGAGCCGTTATTGGATGTGGAGAATGAGTACAAAAATGAAAGGTGTCGCTATCCCTGTGGGCGAATTAGAGGTGGCGTGGGTTGCAGTGTAGGTGCAGGCTAGGTGGCAGCCTTGGGGAAGGCATCTCTACATGCATGTAATACGATTCTACGTGTAGGGAGGCGCCATTGAACTTGGCGAATGAGTACAAAAATGAAAGGTGTCTCCACCCCTGTAGGAGAATAAGAGGTGGCGTGGGTTGCAGTGTAGGTGCAGGCTAGGTGGCAACCTTGGGGAAGGCATCTCTGCATGCATGTAATACGATTGGATATCCCAGTTGGCGAATTAGAGTTTTCTTACTGTTGTTTTATTCAAATTCAGTATAATCTATTTAATCATACATTTATCAAAACATTTTTACACTCAATCACTCAAACACTCGAACATTCAAAAATTCAAACAATTAACTCAAAGACTCAAACAATCAAACACTTAAACCTTCAAACATTCAAACCTTCAAACCTTCAAACATTCAAACACAATGGCCTATGCACCATAATATGTGATCAGTGCATATTTCAACGTGAGACATACATTTGTCTCACCTCTGGGTTTTTGTTTAGAGACATTGAGAACATCCGATTTTGTTTAAACAGGAAAGCCAATTTCTTGTATTTCAAAAAGCGATTGGAGGCCAAACAGAATCCGGTTTTTTTTGGTAACAACTAAATAATATTTTATAAGGTTGAGGTTCAAGATGACGAGGACTTTCAGAATATGTTTTCCAGTCATGAGTATTCTGGGTACGACTCTATTGAGTTGTACATTGTGCCGCGAGAGCCTTAGTTGTCACAAGTGGTTGATACTCTCGA